CATTTTCCCGGCTTGGAGAGCGCGGCTAGAAACCTCAGTGTGTCTCCAGCTTTGTGGAGGGAAGCCCCTTCCAGGCCCTTCCTCTTGGGCTTTGCCCCCAGACCTGGAGAGGGCATTTAAGACTAAGGCTTATTAGGTGCTCTGAGGTGTGATTATATCGTCATCCCCTGCTCTTCATTCTTATTTGACTTTTTATAAACATCATCATGAACAAGGAAAGCCTTTCTAAGCACCTCTTGAGGACGGCGCGATCTAGACCGGGCCGAGGCAGAGGCGCCCTGTCCCCTCGTCTCTCGGCCGCCCACCCCGCGGTGGCACCGGCGCAGCAGGCGGGCGGGGCGGGCGGACTCGGAGAGTGGTGACGGCGGCTCATGAAAGGTTGAAAGTCTCGGAGAATTTAAGGGGCAGGAGAGCTTTATAATTTATAACTTCCTCCTCTGCTGGATAAAGACCAACTTTTAGTGCTCCAAGTGACAAATGTTAATCATTAATAATCCTTTACGTAAATAAAGTACCTTGTCATTTCCCACATGCTCTCCTCTCCTTCACCTCCACCTCTCCGGCAGCACTGCCAGCCAGCACTCTCAACTCCTGTACGGAGGAGACGGGGCAGGCGTCACGTGAACTCACCGCGTGGGAGCCGGCTACAAGGAGGGTCAGCAACTCGCTCAACAAGATTCTGGAATTTTCTGTTGCATCCTGGGGAGCTATGAGGTTGGTTAAGGGAAAGCTGACCTTATACCTTTCTTTGCTGCTTAAATTTTTATTTTCCCTATGACTACTACTCTTATAATTGAAAAAAAGGAGTTTAATTTTATAAGAAGAAAGGAAGGAATTCATTTTTTTCTGTGAGTCCAGGATTCCCTTTTGAAGCCTGGGCTGGATAAAACATCTCCAATGTTCTTTCAATACATCTTAATACAAATCAATTCAGGATATAATAACACTAGCGAACCTTTACTGAGGACTTAGCATGGCAGGCACTATTCCTCACTAAATCCCTACAACCTCAGGAGATGCGGACAACAGTTATTCCCACTTTACAGATGAAGACACTGAGGCATAAAACGTTAGGACACTTGCCAGGGAGGCAGAGGCCGTGCTCTTCAGCCCCTGCTGCGGCGCTCCGGCTTCGGGTCCGAAAGACTGAGGACTGCCAAGCCTCGCTCTCCCCCAGGGCCCCGGCTGCCCTCTGTCCCAGGCAGGCCACACAGTTTCCCTTAGCCATGTCGCACGGACCCAGGAGCGCTCTCGGGGAGGCAGCCACTGCCACTGAGCAGCCAGAGAAGAAGGCGCAAGCTCGGGGTGTGCTGGAGACGGGGAGCCCCCGAATCGACTTCGGAAGGAAGGCCGCCCTCCACCTCTCACGGGGTGCACAGGGGGGCAAGAAATTTTAAAAAGCCATAGTTCAGCCCTATCTGGTTTGGTTCAGTGGTTAGAGCGCCTGCCCTCAGACTGAAGGGTCCCGGGTTCAATTCCGACCAAGGGCACGTGCCTGTTGCAGGCTCGATCCCCAGCCCGGGTGGGGGTGCATGCGGGAGGCAGCCAATCAATGTGTTTCTCTCACATCGATGCTGCTCTCTTTCTCTCTCTCTGAAAAGCAATGGGGGAAATATCCTTGGGTGAAGATTACAAAAAATAATAATAATAAATAAATATATAAAATCATAAGAGGAAAAAGCCATAGTTCAGAAGAATAGACACACAGTGAGCTAATGCCTCCCTCCACAGAGGAGTCCCAGGAATCCTGGGGGGGACATGGGGACTGTGCTCTGTCGCTGCCCACTGTGGGGAACCTGACACAGAGAGGGACCAGAGGAAAGGGGCCATGCGCGTTGGCCAGGCCTCTCCTGCAAGTGTGAGCCACCAGCCAGAGAAGTGTCTTCTTCCCTTGGTTCCTGAACGCTGGCCAATGAGTCGCTAATTGGTTTGTGTGTCAATTCCAGCAGGAAGGCTAGAAAATTCAATCTCAACTTCGGCAATGAGGTTCTCCCCCAATAACTGGCTTTGCCCATCTTCCAAATAAAGCCCTGTATCACGCAGGCTATGGTCTCTGCCTGGCTTCACAATGGCCATAGGACACACGCTCACTGCCTCTCCAGCCAGCTGCAGGCTAACTGCTCCAAAGAGCTTTCTGCTGACAGCTTAGAGCAAAGCACCATGGGAAACAGGGGTCACAGAGTCCTCATTAATCCATAAAAGGAGAGATATGAAGAAATAGGGGCCTTTGAGGGTCAAGGGAAAAAACTGTGTGCTGTGTGTCAGGAATGCTTTCAACACAGGCTTTCACGAAATACGTACCTATGACGTAGCAAACCATGACTGGAAAGCTCTGGAGTCACAGACTAGAAGAACAAGTATTTAGTGAACACCTACTACAAGCAGGGTACTGCCCTGGGCCAACTAGGTGAGCACCCAAGTGTGGAGTTCTCAATCACAGAATGAGCATCTCAGGTGAAAACACAAGGTCAGCAAAGGGCGCCTGCAAGATACCTGGTGCAGAGAGGGGCTGCATCACTCAGGAAGGTATGGTCCCCACAGCGGGCTCTGGAGGCTCCACAGAGCAGGCACTTGACATAGTCCTGAAGGCAGGATGGCAATTTTCTAGACCTGTGGTCCCCAAATCACCTGAGGGACGCTTTAAAAAAATACAGTGTCCTGAACCCCGTACCAGACCTACGGAGTCAAAAGGTCTCGGAACATTACCCTGGAATCACTATTCTTTTTTAAAGATTATTAGTATTATTATGGCAAACTGAACATATACAAAAGTAGAATACTGATTGCACATGTATCTATCACCCAGTATCAGCAATCGTCAACTCTTTCTCGCCTATATCCTTATTTATTCCCCCCCCCCCC